TTTCCCTGTCTCAGGTTGGCTCAGTCCTTGTTTGCACTCTTTGCCTCGTCGCTGGCGATCTCCTTGGTCTTTGCCATCATCCCTCTGTGCCACAATGTGGTGGTCCTGGCTGTGGTCATGGCTGTGGCAGGACTGGCCATGGGCTGCATCGACACCATCTCCAACATGCAGCTGGTGAAGATCTACCAAAAGGACTCTGCCATCTTCCTGCAGGTGAGCATGGAGCCTGCATCTCCCCTCTGGCTGTGCTTCCTCCTCTGAGGAGGAGGAGGGAGAGGCTCAGCCAGCCTCCCTGCAGAGAAGAGCAGTAAACCTCCCTGCTCTATTTGCGCGTCTCATCTCTTGCAGGCCCTTCATTTCTTTGTGGGCTTTGGAGCGCTGCTAAGCCCACTGATAGCTGACCCCTTCCTCTCGGACACCAACTGCATCCTCTCAAACTCCACTGCCAACGCCTCCAGCAACCTCCCTCACATCCGCAAGTCCCTGGTCCCTCACCATCCCGGCAACCTGTCTCATTACGACCTGCCGATGAAAGGCATGGTGGTCACACGTGTCTCCTACGCCTTCTGGATCATGGCCCTCATCAATGTAAGTGCTGCAGCCAGAGTGGCCTAAGCTGTTGCTGAGGGTATCCCTGCTTCTCGGCTTTGCAGACGACTGTGGTGTTTGGGGGGGGGGATGCTGGCGCCTGTTAGGTGATCCCAGCAATTGAAGGAGGCATGAGGATGGTTGTGCTGGTCCGCAGCAAAAGTGTGGTTTTTTTGCCAAGTGCCCGGTTTCCAGCAGGTGCCTGGAGCAGGCGGGCAGGACTCTGCAAAGCTGAGCCAGCTGTCGCTGTGCCGTCCGATGTGATAAGGTTGATGTACTGTCCCGTGGGGATTTGTCTGATCTCTCTGGAAGCACGTTGTACCTCCAGCATCCCCCTGGGCAGGAGTTATACCAGCTAACGGCCCTCAGAACCGCAAAGTCTTCCTCCGTGGTCAGTCTCGGGGGGAGCTCGGTGGTGTGGGGATGGCTTGGCAGGAGGGTGATTTGCAGTGATATTCATAGGAAAGTGCGCATAAGTGAATTGAGTTACTGGGGCTGAAATCTTGGTCGGGGTGTCTCTGCCTATTTGCTATGTTTCCCTGGAGATTTGCAGCAGATATAAGAGCCCTGTGGTGCTTCTTTTGTGAGAGAGGTGGGGTTTAGTGCCTGGGCTTTTTCTCTGCCCTGCTGAGTCCCAAAGCTGATCTCCAGCAAGCTGCTCTTGCCTGCAGGCTGTGAGCTGTCTCTGAAATGTAGCCCTGTTCCTTACCCCCCAAGTTAATACCCGAGTCCCAGCATGGTTAAACACAGCTGGTCCCTTGCACAGCCTCGCTGGGCTGTGGCCATCGCCGTGCCCATCCCCAGTCCCTCTGCAGCAGAGCTAGCTAAGCCGCCGCTGTCACTTCCCTGGCGGCAGGAGCCCTGCGAGCTGTGTGTAAGTGTCCACGGAGATCTGGAGTGATGTGAGCGGAGCACGTTGTTGCAGCAAGCATCAGCCCTGCCAAGTGCTGCTGTTTGTGGTGGGATTGATGCTGAGGGCACCTCTGCTCCCACTCCGTGTAGAGTGCCCGGTTATGCTTCGTGCGTGGGAACTCCTGCTGGCAGGGGTCCCGGGGTCCCCCCTGTGAGCAGAGCAGAGCCCAGCCTGTGCAGCCCTTGCCAGAAGGTGCTCTGTTGTCTGTTTATAAAGAGCGTGCCAGGGCAGGGACCGCCGAGATGGTGCTTGTTTTGCTCACATGGGGACCTCCTGTAGTGGAAGGGAAGGGTGATCCTGCCTGTCTGCCCCGGTACCTGCTGCCCCTTCCCTAGGCAAGTTTAGCCATTGCCCTTCTGCCAAACCACAAGGATGCTCCGGTGCTCTTCCCTGTCCCAGGCCAATGCACGGCCCTTGATCTTCTACCACTGCGCCTGCACTAGGCAAAGGGAACAGATTTCTTTGTGCTCTTGGTCTTGCCATTTGCTGAATAACTAAAGCATACCCCAGTGCACCTAATCCAGGGGCTTTCGTTAGACCGAGGGCCGCGCAGCTCACTGGTGTGAGGAGAAGAACAGGCAACTGGAATAGCTGGGCAGGTGCCGTAATGAGTTTCTTTGCAGAAGTACCAAAAAGGATGCTCTCTGCCTAGGAGGAGAAGACAGCTTTAATTACCTCTGGGTCTGTGTATGCCATGGGAAATGTGCTTTTAATTACACCGGAGCGTTATCTATTTTGCCAGTCAATCCTGAGCGAACTAATTTAGCTTTGAAGGCAGTGTTTAATATCCGCTTTGAACGCGACAATGTGTCTGAGATCTGGAGCACTGACGGGAGGGTGGTTGCCAGACCCCTCTCTGTTCCTCGCAGTGTCCCATAGACATTTTGGGAGCAGGATGGGACCCTAGGCTGAGTCCCGCTCTGCCCCGCAGCTGATGCATAGCAGGTGGTGAGCTGGGCTTGTGCATCACTGCACGCTGAAGTGCAGTTTGCACGTGTGGGTGGTTTGCACATGTGTGCACGCTGCGTGGTGTCACCAGGAATACGGCAGGGAGTCCCGGGGTGCTGGGAGACTGGTGGTTTTTGGGGTGAGGGGTAAGTAACAAACATCAGAGGAGCAGGGAGTCGGACGTACGCCACACACGCAGCTCTGGAGCATGTCCCCTTGCCGAAGCCGAGCTGTTATTGTCTTTCCCAAAGCGTCACTGAGGGACCTGACTTGATTCCTCATTTAAACGAAGTAACGTAGCCCGCTGGCTGGAGATACTGCCAGTAGCTCAGCTCCAAAACTCCTGACCCTTGTTTAAGGTGTAAACATCAGAGAAAGACAACAATAATTGGTATTTAAAACCCCAGGGAAGTGGATGAAATGAGTAAGCTATAGAAATGCAAACCAAGTTCAGCGATTTTGTTATAAAATTGTCAAAAACACATTTCCATCTCAGTTTTCACAGGGCTGTGTGTATTCTGACAAGGCACAAGCTGAAATGATTCATTTCAACTTCTTGCTTTGTTTAAAGTGGAAATGTCTCAGTTTGACTTTGGCATAAATGCAGTGTAAAGCTGACAGAATAGTTGTTTTGATGTTATTGAAGCAAAAAGTTTTGGGTTTAGTAAAATGAAGTGGTTCAGCATTATCAAAATGAAGTGCTTGGATGAGTCCTGGCCAAAATTTTTCATTCTAAGAGAAAATTCTGGCTTTTCATCCAGATTTGGAACAAAAACATATTTTAAAATTCAGTTTCCCACAGAACGGAAATTTCATCATCCAGCCCGTTCCAAGGGGCTGGAAATCAGGAAAATGTTCCTCCGAGAGGGATGTGTTTGTCCGGAAGGTGGTTTCCCAGGGGAAGTGTGGGACACTCCATTGTGCTTAGGTTGCTTAAAAGTAGCCTGGATACAATAGCAGGGAACAGTCCCGTGCTCCTGGGGGGGAGAGACCAAAATAGAAACTGGAGGGAAGGAGCCTGGATTATACCCACACTTAACTGCGTGATGCAGCAACTTGAGTTTAGAATAATGGTTAAAAGCTGCCAGGGGGAGGGGAGCATCCCCGGCAATCGGGCGAGCGGAGCTGGAGGGCCGTGTCCAGGCAGCGGGGCTCTTGCTGCCCCCTTTGCCCTCCAGCCCGTGCAGGCTCCCGGTGGGTGCTCGGATACCCCTCTCCCCTTTGAAAAAGGAAACGCCTTCTGCCGAAAAAGACGAAGCAGAGTTGTCCTGGGAAGAAAGCCCATGAACAAATGGTTATCGCACCAAAATCTCTGCCTGCTCAAGAGGGAGGGCTGGTTGGCGATGGAGACTGGAGGTGTCCAGCTTGGTGTGGTTGGGGACGGTGCGGGGCACCAGTGACTCTGCTGGGCAGGGTGGTGCTTTGAGGGTCCCTGCCCTTATTTTAGAGGCTGTGGCTGCAGCTCATCCTTGGTTCTCGCTGTCTGAGCTCCCTGCAGTGGGGGAAGGCTTTGCTAACTCTTTGCCTCGTGCCAGGCAGCCAAGGTGTTGGCCCCAGGAAAACCAAAGCTGCTTTGGGAGCTGAGTAGGAAGATCCTATTGTAAGCACGGTGGTCTTGCCCTTGTGTGTCTTAGCATGTGTGCTGACCCCGGGGGCCAGCAAGGCTCATCATCACCACCCAACCTCTCCAGCTGGGGCACGAGGGAGCTGCAGATAGGGAGAGGGGCTCAGCGCCCACCTGGCAGCTCACAGCACTGGCCGTGCTCGTGTGGGCAGTGGAAGTCCTCAAGCTGTCCTTGTCCTGTAGTTGGGGTGGGCTGCTCCTCCAGGATGGGTTTGTCCCTTTGCTTGGTGAAACGTGCCCTGGCAGGGATCTGGTGTTCAGCTCTGTTTGCCCCTCTCCATCTGCCTGTGTAAGAACTGAACTGGTTTTGTGGATGCTTGATCCTTTGCTCTTCCACGCTTTCCTGAGCTTGCTTCGGTGTGGTGGCAGCCCATGGGTGAGGGCTGTGCTTGACCGTGGGCGAGTCTCTGGTTTTTGGGCATTTCCTACCAGAAACAGCCAATGCTGGCCAGCAGTTCACGGTTGATGGGGTCAGAGCACTTGTGCACCAGAGGCACTGCCAGCTTCAAGATGGTACAGTCTGGATAAAGCGAAAGGGACCTCCTTGCTTTAGAGATGAGCATCTGGGGAGGAGGGACATGCCTACGGTTTGACTGGGAATTGGGGGAATCCAGAGCTGGGGCCGTTTTCTACATAGGCACCAAGTGTTCCTTGGGGCTGGAAGTGCCCAAGAGGTTATCTGTACAGCCAGTCCCTCAGCCTGCGTATTTTTTTTGCAAAATCTGCAATTTAGAAGAATAAAATCTGGTCCTGACCTCCGGAAGGATTAGAACTATCAAGCAAATGCGTTTTTCTTCCATGGGACCGAACTAACTGTTCCTATTCCCATTGTTCCCAGAACAATGAAGTCCTCGTAAATGAATTCAGGCAAGAGAGGCGGGGCGGGGGGGGAATTCTCCATACATTTAAATCATGCCATGAGCCAACAAAAGGCAGGAAATTTGGAGCTAGAGCTCACACTTGCTCACAGACATGTAGAAAACAAGCGCTCGGCGGCGGGCGAGTGAGCTGTCACTTAGGATTTCCTGGCTTTCTCCCCCAGTTTGTTGCAGAATAAACACCACTTAGTTGTGGCAGGAGGAGAAGGGAGGGCTGGCAAGGGGCAGACCCAGCTTTATCTGCTTCCCTCTGTTTTCTCTCCCCCCCCAAAAAAGAAAAAGAGCAAATCCCTCCAGGCTTGGAAGCACCACCGAGTCGTGGGTGTGCATAGGGTGTAGGCTCGTCCCCAGGCACGTGGCAGCGAGGGAGCGCAATGCCGGGGGCCTGATGCTGCGGCTGCCGCATGATGGATCCAGTGGGCAGGTACAAACCCACGGTCCCTGTGTGCATTAGCACCAGGCAGAAAGCCCGGGCTGCATGGAGCGGTGCTGGTGGGATGCTGTGTGCTGGGAGCCTGCGCAGCAGCCAGTGCAGCGGCATCCCTGGATGTGCGGGGGTCTCTAAGGCAGCAACAGCCGAGAGGGCGATGGCTGGAGGCTCGCTGCTCACCCTGCTCATCAGTCCTGAGTCCCTCAGCAGAGGCTGTGCCAAGGGGCTGTTTGAAGCTGCTCGGCTGTAGCGGTGCTGTCGTTGTTGGCCTGGGAACGACGAGCTCATCTCTTACGAGATGCTGAGCAACCTCTGCTAATGGCTGGAGATGCGCAAAGCCGGTCTCGGAGCATCTTGCTCTTCCCTCACAGAGTTTCAGCCACAGAAGGTCTCCCGTTAGAACTGTTCTGCTCTCCACAGGCAAAAAAAGCTGCTTTATTCTTTGAGCAGGAGTGGCCAAATGCTCGGGAACCAGAATGTTTTGGTTTTGAAGGGCTGGTACAGTACTTCATGAGGTTTGTGTTTAGGTGCTTTCTGTTCCAGTGTCCCTGTCCCCCATCCCAGGTGAATGGTCCCCAGCCCACCTGGCATCCCACAGGGACTGGTGGGGCGTGGAGGAGGATCCCCCAGCCACACTCTGGATCGGGAGTCTTTGCTCTCAACTTGCTGGGGTTTGGTTGGTTGGTTTTGGTTTGGGTTTGTTTTTTTTTTTTCTCCCTTCTCCCCTCTCCTCCCTGCTAACTCTCCTAACAAGCCTCCATCCCTCCTGCAGTAGCTCCTTACCCCATTGCCAGCCTCTGTCCTTGCTCTTGCAGGCTAATTCAGGCACACCTATTGCAGATGCTGAGTGCTGCTTCCTAAAAGGCTGTTGCGACTGGGGAACAGGACTGAATTTTGTGCGAGGCTTGTCATGCTCACCTGCCTCTCTCTGTTCCTTCCCAGCTGCCGGTGCCCATCGCGGTGTTTTTCTTGCTCTACCTTACCCCATTGCCAGCCTCTGTCCTTGCTCTTGCAGGCTAATTCAGGCACACCTATTGCAGATGCTGAGTGCTGCTTCCTAAAAGGCTGTTGCGACTGGGGAACAGGACTGAATTTTGTGCGAGGCTTGTCATGCTCACCTGCCTCTCTCTGTTCCTTCCCAGCTGCCGGTGCCCATCGCGGTGTTTTTCTTGCTCTACAAGGAGCGGATGGTGCCGTGCTTCAACAGCAGCAGCCACCCGCTGCTGTCGGCCGACGAGCTGGCAATGGAAACGCGGCCCACGGAGAAGGACGATCTCTCCACCACTGTGCAGAGACCCCACGCAGCAGGAGGTGAGCTGGAGGCGCCTCTCGTACGGCTTTGGGGTAATAGAGGGGGTGAGCAGGGGGAGAAAAGGCTGCATTTTTGAGTGGCTCCGTTGAGTTTAACAAGTGAGATCCATTGCTATTGTTTAAGGAGGAAAGTTTCCAAAACGTACACGTGAATGTAATCCAGAAGTACCCAAACAATCCAAACAGGCAATTTGGTGGCCAATTGCCCTCAATTTAGACGGGACCGTAACCCCTGAACAGAGATTAGGAGCCTGTTGTTGGTACTCCAGGCTGCTTTTCTCCAAGCTGTCCTAAAACTAAACCTGGGCTCCCGAGTCATTTAAGCGCATGTGAAAGTTGTGCCCCTTTGTTTCTTTCTGGTTTTTGGTCAGATTTTGAGCTGGCTCCGCTGACTGTTCAGTGTAAAAGTGACCGTCATGCTGCAGAACGCTGATTTTTATAAATCTGAAAGGAGTAAGGACAGCGCCCTTGTTTGAGGGGAAAAGTTAAACTCCAGCAATAGTTTACTCTTGAACTTGTGGCTACACCCTGTTTTGGGGACAATAGTAGCATTGTTCTTTGCTACCCAAGAGAAACGTATCAAAGTAAGTTCTTCAGCTAAAGAGTGAATCTCTGAAGTAATCGTGTTTTAGAGTTATCAGAGGAGCGTTAGTGTTATTACAGAAGAGATGGCTTTACCTGAACAATAAAAGGAAATTTTAGGGAATACTTGAAGGTGGAGGCAGTTAAGAGATGTGGTGAGGTGCTGCAGGGAAGGATCATAGGTGTCCCTAATGGAGTGGGTTCTCTGGTGTCTGATAAGGTTGTGCTCATCTGATAGCATTTCCCTTAGCTGAGACACTGATGGCTTCTTTCCTCAACCCAGCTGCCCATTTCCATACAACCCATTGGAGCTTCGTGTTCTTCAGATCTCCATCTTCCTCTTAAATGCAGTTGAGATTAGTCCTTAGGGAAGCAGGAAGGCTGTATGCTGACTGCTGCGATCTTTGACAGACACGTCTGTGCTGGCAAAATCCCTCCTTCCCCACAGAAGTAGCGAGAATTTCATCCTTGCCATGCAGGAGCAACTGTCTCGCCTGCACAGGACTCCAGGTGCTGTTACCTTAACACCAGCCCTTTGCACGTCCCAGAGCGGTGCGATATACGCATGAGGACGGGAGAGTCGGGAATTCCTGGGGTCCTGACCCCCAGCTCTGTGGTCTGCTCAGAGGAGGCAATGCTAGCTGTTTTTCCCAAAGTTGGCTTGTTTGGTTAAATATCATTAAGCTGAGGAATGAGAGCTATCCTGGGCAGGACCGTCCTGTGTGGTGGGACCAAGGATGAGGGTTTGAGCACAAGTGGTCGAATGGGCTTGTTTCTATTGACTGTAAGAGCGGGGCCAGCAATGTGGACCTCCTAAACGGGAAGAGGAGCACAAGCAGCTACAGTAAGAGAAGTAGCATGTATCCTGGAGAGCTAGGATCCCAGTATGTGGACAGCAGCCCATAAGCATATCCATCTTCCTTCTGAAAGTTTAGAGGTAGGTAAAGAAAGAGGTGGTACCAGCAGAGGTTAGCAGTGTTCCACGTTGTTCATGGTCCTCTATGAATCTCTTGTTTTGCCCTCAGCTGCACGACAATCCCCGTTGTGGGCTGGCAAACACCCAGCCCCAGGGGGACGTTCCAGCTAAGTTTGCTTTGCATTGTTTTTCACCAGGTCATGATGACTTATTTAGCTGCTGCCAAAGCAAAAACTTCAGAGGGGCTTCTTACACCTACTTCGCAGTCCACATCACTGGGGCTCTTGTTCTCTTCATGACTGATGGGATTGTGGTGAGTTCAGCTGATAGAGGGATCTTGTCTGAGCAAAGCTGTGTGGCTTTCTTCCTTGCAAATCACTTGTGACAGCCCAAACCCAGCACATGTCCTCTGCGTGCAGCGGGCTGGACCTGAGGGTCTGCCAGTGCGGCAGTCTGGCTCCCAAGGTAGCTCATTCAAAGCTAATCCTAGTCAGGCTGATATGTGCCCTGCTTCTTGGGAGGGTTTTGTGGCTTCTCCTAGGCTCTGTGTTGTTGCAGCTAGATTGCTACGAACCTAGCCAGTTTAGAGCTGGAGTTGTGATGTTGTCTACTTGTACGCAGTGGAGGTCTCTTCTCACTTCAGCCAAGAGGCAAGAACAGCTTCATTTTATTTCATAAGAAACAGTGGCGCTTTTTGTTGGTGGGTCTCCGGAGCCCTCGCAATCCAAGATGAGAACACGAGGGGATGGTGCAGTCTCTGGAGGGACCTGGCAGCATGTCCCTGGCCGGCGCAGTCACACGGGGTTTGCCGTGTGTAGCACTTCTGTCCGGGCGAGGAAGGCTTGCTCGTGGCTGGCAAGCTGCTGGTCTTTTTCTTTCAACAGTTTTGTCTCAGTCCCCTCATGGTAAAATACTGCTGGGTCTTACTAGGGCATTAAATAGGAACCTGAAAGATGGGCAGGGTTACGCAAAGCAGCTGTCAGATACGGGACCTTTCCGAGGCCTCCATCTTCAAGGATGATCAGCTCCAGGTTCTTAATGTGATATGTTTTGAGAGTATGCAATTCCAAAAGGACAAGGCAGTCCCTAGGGAAGAGAGCATCTCTACAGATAAGAGCTTAGCACGCATTTTACCTAGTAATGTTGTTAAGCTCTCCTAAAAGGGCAAGACTTAAGTCCTGCTTTCTACTTCTGGTGGAAGCCTGTCTCCAGCTGCAAACCCTCGGCAGCGAGGTTCATTGAGATTTGGTGGCAAATCCATAGGTGGGCTCTCCAGCACTATCACAATATTGTGAATAACTGAGGGACAGGTTGAAGTTAAAGTTGCAAAGCCTGTAAGTCATCACATCAGTGTGACACGCTGTTTTGTTTTTCCTGCAGGGCGAGTACTCGGGCTTCGTTTACAGCTATGCAGTGGAAGAGCCCCTCTCTGTAGTACATAAAGTGGCCGGCTACCTGCCCAGCCTCTTCTGGGCATTCATCACCCTGGGCAGGCTCATCTCCATCCCAGTGTCCTACCGAATGAAGCCAGCAACTATGGTTTTCATCAATGTGGTAAGGCTGGTTTTATTACGTTTTTCTTCCGCTTGGCTCCAGGAGTTGCCTAGTTTGGGGTTTGATGTGCGGCACAGGTAGATCGGCACCAGGCCTTTCGCTGCGTTGCTGCCTCTGCGTGTTCGCAGCTGACTCCGGTGCCTGAGGTAGCTAAGACTTACAACTTGATTGCACGGCTTTTCTGAGCTTGCTCCTCAGTTAATCTAATGTTACGTTTGTGAAAGCATCTAGTAAAGCGTCTCCCAAATTTATTTACTTTGCACATTGTCCTCTCTGGCATTTTGCAGGGAATTTAATGCCCACGTTAGCCATGGGAAAGGGTAAGGCAGATAGGTCAGTAAATTCTCTGCTTAGACTGTAGCAGCTGTCAAAGAAACTAATGTGATGTGAGGTCGCTTAAATTAATAAAACTAATTCACTTGAAGAAAGAGCAAGGAGGCCTTTAAGGATATATAAGACAGACACATGTAAGGATGTGATGGACAGCAGGGAGGGAGTTGTTCCCATTTACACTTCTTGCAAAAAAGGAAAGAAACAAGTGAGAAGGCAGTTAATTTATTTAACCCAGAAGTTATTTTGGTAGCAAGTTTCACAGTTAATATTACAAGGCCAAGAATATGTAACAGGGTGGTGAGAAAACAGGAGCGACAGTTCAGACTGGGATGTTTTGAAGATTTAGGCCGATGTCTTTTGCAGACAGGAGGCAGGTGAGGCAGCCTGCTCAGCACCCTGCTGCTGGTCACTTTAAAAACTGAGCTTGGATACCAATAGCTACAGCCAAATGAAATGCAATTATTTTAAAAATTAGTGTAATCTCCTACTTTAGCACATAGTCACTACTTGCATGGGAGCAGGGAAAGCTCGGCACCAGCAGATCCACCTTGGGTATCTGATACGAACAGTCCCGTGCATCTCCTTGATGCGTACTACTGGCTTAATCACTTGCCTGAACTGCAGTATTGCTGAATTAACAAACCTCAGGACAGGACAACTTTAGCTGCTGCTAATATTTGACGAGAAGAGGGAATAGCCTCCAGCCTTGAATGGAAGCCGCCTCACTTCCCCTTAAAGACAACGGTAGTAGTATCATCCAAGGACAAAAATTAATTTGACTAACATTGAACCCTTTGTGCAATTCTTGCTTGTTGGTACTGCTGAATGTAGTAAGATACACCAGCTCTTGGAGTCGTTTCAGCATTATAGGAAACTGCAGTTTGAATTCAATTCCTTTAGAATCCGAATTGCTCTTGTGTACATGCACACACCCATAATCAGGGCCTAAACAATTAAGACTGACTAACTTGAGCTGGTTTTGCAGAGCTCCCTCTGCTCACTCCCTGTGCCCTGGCTAACTTGGATGGTTTTGCTGTTACTTGTACGCTGCGGCAAGCCAGAGGTGAGGGCAAGCTGGTTTAAATTTAGTTGGCTTTTTGGCTTTACTCCCGTGACTGGTTTCTGAGCAGTTATTGAGAGTGAGTTAATTCTTTAACATGCTGAATAAGACTTACTAGTGATTGAGACACATAAATATTATAGAAGTAGCAGTACTGTTGTATTTAAAGCTGCAGATAAGAATATTTTTTTTTCAGATAAGAATCTTAAGTCTCTACCTAATGAAATTGAAACAGATGAACTGTATATAGTCACGTTAAGTCCTGTTATCAAAAATAACAAATTCTTTATTGTAAAGGTAGATAGATTTTATTTGACTATTTACTTCAGTTTTTCAGAGATTGTGATCATCTTACCTTCCTACTGACTCTGTGTTTGTCGTTCACAGGTTGGAGTCCTGCTAACCTTCCTGCTGCTCCTGATTTTCTCCTACAGCGTTGTCTTCTTGTTTGTGGGGACAGCATCCCTGGGGCTGTTCCTCAGCAGCACCTTCCCCAGCATGCTCGCCTATACGGAGGACATCCTGCAGTACAAAGGTGAGCAGGGATTCGGGCACGCCTGGCAGACTTTGAAAGCAGGTGGGTGTTCAAGGCTAGAGCTCAGATACCATCACACCTAGCAACTCCTTCCCTCCTCAGGGATGCCCAGGAGGCCGGGAAGAAAGATTTGCTTTTGAATACAATGTTTATTCAAGCTTGTAGTCAGAAAACCAGACTGCACAAGTCCTGGCTTCAGTGTACTAATAACTCCTCCAGGCAGGGATCCAGACTGGTTCTTAGTCTCCTGCAGCTTTAGAGATCTCAGGGACTGAGAGGAATGTCTGCTTTAGAGGCTTACAGGGAGCTAGTTTTGAAAACATCATCCCAATTATCAGTGAACTGAAAATCCTCGCGTTTGGCCAGCTCTTATAGGAGGTCTCTGCCAACCTCCATCTCTGGAGCAGTAATACAGAGGAATGAAAATCTTCCCAGCAAGAAGCAACAGCCCCTCTGCCAACAGAGACAAGAGACAGAACAGGAGAGGGTTTTCTGGCTTAAACGTTTACCTTTCTGCACTACTGCAAGTTAGAAGAGGCATTCTCAGCACTAGATGGGAAGACACGTTTAAGTATTTGCAAATCTTGTATGGAGAGATCCATGAAAGAGGAGTTTAAAGAAGCTGCAGGCTGATCCTGCTGGCTGTTTGATCTGTTCCCTGCCACCATCACATGCACTATTTCTTTGCAGGCTGTGCCACAACGGTGTTGGTGACTGGAGCTGGAATTGGAGAGATGGTACTACAGTTACTGGTGGGATCGGTACGTGTAGACAAAGCATGCCAAAAACCGACTGGAACTTTGAAGTAGAAACCTTAGTCCTGGTTTTGGACAGCTGCTGGGATAAAGCACTGCATTACCCTTGAGCTATCAAATAGTAAAGCTCTTACTGAATGCTAATTAGGTATTCGAGTGCTATGATGACATGTCTGCTCCCCGTGGTTGTTTTTTTCCCTCCAATTGCAGATTATACACGATCAGGGCAGCTACAGTTTCCTGGTCTGTGGGATGATCTTCGGAGGCTTGGCCTTTATCTTCTACGCTTTCCTCTTGTTTTTCCACAGGATGTACCCCAAGCCCTCATCAGGTAAGAAAGCACCAGCACTCAGCCCCACTTTATAACGAGAG